CAAGTACGTGAAACGATTTAAACCTAGGTGTGCCTAATCCCAAAGCCCTGTGTTCTACATCTCAACGACTCTCCGTGTCCAATCAGAAAGAAGGGGCTAGAAGAGAATGACCTTGAGAGGAGGCAGGGGAGGAAATTAAAGATGGATGCCCCCAGCATCAACCAAACCCACACAGACAGCATGTGCTAACAATTCAGAATTCTCGCCAAACTGCGGTGCTAGAGACCCTATCTCCACCTCCACAGATTTCTAATAGGATTTCCTTACAACCTTTTCCCTAGATTCCTGTAAGAGAAGAAAATGATAAGGCGATAGGAAAATGAGTTATATCGATTTCACAATAAATTAACAGCATTCCTCTGTATCTGTGCATTGGACGCGTATCTAAAACGGAAATACAGCTCCTGGCCCAAGATTCCCGCTTCTTAGTCCTGCATGACTTATCTCTCTCAGTCACTTAATATGCCTAAACTGAATGTTCCTGAACGTAGCAGCCTGAGGGGAGAATAAGGTTTCACAGTTAGTGTGGGCAGCACCGTCATTTTCAACCAGCAGAAGAGGCGTGATAAAACGTAATTAGAGTGAGGATGTATTTGCAGAGCCATCAAAGCACAACATCTTGTTCATGCTGTTGTTTCTTTTACTCAAGATGGAGACATCAGTTAAGCTTGCTGGTTAAGACCAACAGTTTCCAAGTCCCCCAGACTAGGATTTAAGATGTCCATTTGGCAGGGGGGAGGGGGGGGGAGAAGCTTACTGTCAGAAAATACATAGGAAGACCGAAGAAGGGCCGCACAGCTCAAGATCATGAGGATGCATTATCACAATTCAGAGCCAGACTCCAAGATGGCTTCCGAAGAGCCTCACTTCCTGGCTGGTGTTTATGGCTTTGTGTAGTTCCCTCTGATCATGAAAAGGGCTGACCTGCGTCATCAATAGGCTACTGCAGAAATGACTGTGGATGCCTTCCTTGGTGAGGGCAGAAAAAACACGGCAGCACCTCCCTTAGATCACTCCCTGTGGAGGGAGCCAACCACCGCCTCATGGAGAGCACACGCAAGGCCCATGACAAAGTCCATGCAAGGCAAGGAGTGAAACCTCTAGCAGCCAGCGTGGACGAGCCAGGCACCAACTAACAATCCTCCAAAGGGCCCTCCAGCCCCCGTCCTGCTTTCAGATCCCCACTGCCCCAGCCAGTGTCTCGAATGCAACCTCATGAAAGATTGTAAGTTGCTCCCAAATTCCTGACTCACAAAAATTGTGAGACAGTAAATGTCTATTGCTGTTTCATCCTGCTAAGTTTTGGGGTAATTTGTTCCATAGCAATATAGCTAATACAGAATATGACTTAGGTTGGGTCCCCTACAAGCAGATCCCGAGACAGATTCAAGTGCATGTCATTCACTGAGGGAATGCTCTTCAAGAGAAACCTAGAAGGATAGAGTGAGGTAGGAAAGGAAGGAAAGAAATGAATAAGCACATGATCTCAGGTAAGTTCCAGCCACAGCCTGGCCCAGGGAGGCTCTGGGGCATGAATTACACCACTGGGCTGTCTTCCTTGGAGCAAGGGGATCGCGCTGTGGTGCTCCTGTATCCACTGGCCGTCAGCTGTGGGCTGTTTCCCCTTTGAGTATGACTTCCCGGATGAGACAGTTCTTACCAGTGGAAGGAAATTCTCCAGAGAAGGGGGCAGATGAGAGTCATGAGCTGGGGGAAGGGTCCACGTATCTGATAAAGGGGCTCTGGATGGAGCTTACAGCACTACTGTGAATGGGACATCTCAAGTGACAGCTCTGTTCCATGGGCCTCCGCCTTCGACCTCCCCACAGGCTGGCACTGCACAATGTCACCTCCCAGGCAGCTGCCCCCCTTCAATTCTCGTTCAGCTCTAGCGGGTCCTTTTACCCCCCTGGAACTGGAGACAAGGAAGGGTGAGTGTATATTTACATCCCAGGAGGAAAACAGGAAGAGTAGGAAAGAAAAGGCAATGTTAATCAGTATAGAAGCTTTGCATAGCTTCACACTTGTAAATTCAGGCAGCCCTGCTACCCTATGAGTCCAGAAACTTCCCAAATGAACTTAGACACACATACTCTCTCTCTTTCAAATTCAGGCCTCTAGTTAATTAGCTTTCACTGTTTATATTTATCAGTACTTTGTAACTCCCTTACTGGATATGCCCTTAACACTGTTAGCGGGAGGAGACGGTATGGTTCATTAAGAGGAGAAAGAAAAACAGACAAAGTCACAGTGTTGGCTGATCCATCTCACACAGTGAGCCCAGAAGCAGCTGCAGAAAATTCAGCTGCTAGAAGTTGGTCACAATCCACAAGGAGCTCCCCCTTCCATGGAAAACTGCGTTTGGGGTCTTGATCCCCCGGAACTCAGCCAACAGGCCAACACAGCATGGGATTCCTACTTAGGAGGTGGGTGCCGGATGCAGCCCTAACTTGCCTCGGGATAATGTCTATAAAACCATCAGACATTTCTCATAGAGTGGATCTTAGCATAACGCTAAGCCCAACTAAGCTCGAAACATCCACCGCCGAGGTCTGCTTTGGGTTACACTACAAAAGCTCCTCTTTTGTTCCCTCTTTGTGTCTTCGCCAGCCCTTGTGGGCCGGGAAGATGTCTGGGGGCAGGAGGAGGACTGAAACATCCGGCCACGCTTTATTTACAGGTTGCTGGCTCGTTCTATCTGCGCATGTCCCAGCGGTTCTAATTCCGCCAGAGCTTCTTTAAGAACAAGGAGGTTGCTGGCTCGTTCTATCTGCGCATGTCCCAGTGGTTCTAATTCCGCCAGAGCTTCTTTAAGAACAAGGAGGTTGCTGGCTCATTCTATCTGCGCATGTCCCAGTGGTTCTAATTCCGCCAGAGCTTCTTTAAGAACAAGGAGGTTGCTGGCTCATTCTATCTGCGCATGTCCCAGCGGTTCTAATTCCGCCAGAGCTTCTTTAAGAACAAGGAGGTTGCTGGCTCATTCTATCTGCGCATGTCCCAGTGGTTCTAATTCCGCCAGAGCTTCTTTAAGAACAAGGACACTGGAGCCTTGCTTCTTCTCTATCTTGGCCCCTAGAAATCCGTGTCAGGTGTATCAAGGTTCACCACTGATTTGTATCATGGATATCTGCATTTCCTGATAGAGCATCCACTGGGGCAGGTTCCTGGTACCTACTGGTTAAATAATTCAGAATCCCTCCAGTCTGATATTTTTTCCCCAATTGTACTGTGACACGTAAGATTCTTAACATCCTCCATCCACAACATCAAGCACAGTGTAGATGGTTAAAATCTTTTGCTGAGTGAATGGACAACGTGCCAACGGTTTTGAAGGGGGCATTTTAGGAAGGAGACATGATCTGGGCACACTGGCCTCCTCGGCCCAGGCATGCACCCCCCCCCCTCAGGCTCCCTGGACCAGATCTGCCCTCCCCCCAGATAACCACCCTCTGCTCACCTACTCCAAGGCTTTACGTCCTGTCGCAGAGAGCCCACCATGTCTAAAATTCCAACTCCCTCTCTGCTCTAGTAGGGTTTTTTCCTTAAGACTTAAAAACATCAAATGTATTAAATACTGTAAGTATTCATCTCGTGTATCGTTTGTCTCCCCACTAAGCACTGCGAAGGTGGGATATTTTTGGTTGTTCTTCACTGTTCTATCCCTCGCCCCTAAAATACATCAGCACACAGGACACACTAAATATTTGCTGAATTAACAGATGAGTAAATGATTGTTTCAGATTTGCATCCAAATCTAGGTTCCGCTACTTGCTGGCAGGCTGAGTCCCAAATCCAAGGCACTTTCTACCATGGGATTGGGCTGCCATGTGACCTTCACAAGCCTCCGTGAATTCCAATGTTAACGGGGCTACCTTTCTCTTTATTTCCTGATTTTGTCACTTTGCAGAAACAACATCTCATCTTTTCCCGAGAAAGGAAAAGCACCTCTGTTCAAAAGAGGACTTTCAACCAGGGCGCCTGAACAAAGAGCCTTGCAGAGGGTTTCTGTGGGAACCGAGCTGACAATGAAATGCCCCCGGTTGCCTGAGCCGTCCAGAGCACTCTGTGCAAGCGCTAATGAATCATTTCCATCTTTACCGTACACCAGGGTCACCAGCGAGAGTATTGTTCTTGGACAAGAACACGTGTCCTCGAGAAACTCACACTTGGGGTGACCTCCCCAGTAGGTCAGACTGTCTGTGTCTCTCCGGGGCAGACAGCATGAGCGTTTGAATTACAGCTTCAGGAAGTTCCCTCCTCTGCGAGCTTGGATTTAGACTTCCCCGAAGCCCCAGATGGAAAAGTGGGCAACTTAAGGTGTCAGTGAAATAACTCAGGTCCAGAAAATGTATGAGATTCAACATCTACCAGGGTTTAAATTTAGAAAAGTGTTATGTATAAGTGTGTATGTGTGTGCATGCATGTGTGTGTTTTGGGGAGGGAAGGTGGCAGAAAACATGGGGAAAAGAGGCAGTGAAATTCCTTGAATACAATTTGGAGCTCTACTTTCAAAAGTCTTCTGAGCTTGTCTGTAGAGGAAGAGAACGGGGCCTCATCATTACCGCTGTCCGGGGTGACAGGACGCGCTTGTGGCAACACCCAGTCTCACTGCGAACACTGTGGTCAAATCCTAATTGCACAGATTCTTCCAAAAGACAATAAAAATAGTTTCTACTTGCTGTGGGTCCATATTGTGTTAGGAACTGAGCTTTGCACTTCACGCCTCTCTCATCCTAACAATGCCACAATGGGGGACACGTTCTTACTCCTTTACTCAAGACGGAGCCCTCCAGTGTCGGAGGGCTCAGCTGCCATCTCCAGAAATGGCAAGGCCAGGATTCAGATGGAAGTCCGCCTAGCTCTATGGCTGCAGGGTTTGCTTCTCTTCGCTGAGGGATGAGAGGAAAGCTTCGCTGTTCTTGCCCATGAGGTGATTTGCCTCTTCTCTTCTCTTTTCTCTCTCTGTGCCCCGCCGTCTCCTGCTTGCCTCCGTATTTTAGAAAACCACATTTCCGAGTCCCCTGGCCTCTGGCTCCTGCGTGGGTTTGACCGATTGGAGGCACTGGTGGAGGAGGCGATCACAGCAGTGAAGACAGAAGCCTGGGTACGTCTCCCCCCCACCTCTGGTTCCTGTAAATCTCCACTGCAGCTCCAGCTCCTGGTGGACAGCCCTGGCTTCCGAACTCTGGAGAGTTCCTGTCATTCCTCCAGGTACAGCAGAGCTGTTGCTAATCAGCCATGGAACCAGTTCCTTCTCCTATAGCACCTCCGTTTGAAAGACCTGGACTGTTTCTGTTTTCCTGGCTACCTTCTGGCCGATACATACATCTTCTTTCAGGAAACGATCAAGCAAACCGTATTCAGAGCAGGTACACCTGATATGAAAACTGTAGTCGCAGTCGAAGCACAGGGTAAAGGGGGAACTTGGTGGCGTGGTTTCAATCATCTGAATTTGGTATGATGCTGAGAACCAGCGTGGGGTACCGCACAAGGCTTTGTTGTCAGACCTACTGCCCGCCACTTGCATTTCCCGGCGGGGTGACACTGGGCGAGTTATTCTGGCCTGAGTCTCATTCTCATCGGGACAAAACATCTGGGCTACGGAGTGGTTGCTCGGGTTGGAGATTGTGCATTTTGAAGTATCAAAACACAACCCCTGATGTGCAGAAGGCAACCAATAAATGTTACTTATTTTTCTTGCATTTTAATTAGCCTCGGGAAGCTGAAAGATTTCAAAAAGACGGAAAATAAACATTTTTCAGGAGTGGTGAGAGACATGCATTGCTTTCAGGTCAGGAGAAAATGGGAAAATGACGTTTAAGATGATGAGCTATGTACTGAATAACATGACCTGCAAAAAATGCTAACACTTGCAGGATTCAGGGTAGGGGTGGGGCCAGAAGAAGACAAATATGACAAAAATGTTTTTGTCTAAGGCCGTTTTTTCTTTTTTTTTTTTTTTTTTGGTATCACTCAGCCAGGAAATGTTTATTTAGCTTCTCTTCGATCTGTGGCTAGGGGAAAGACCTAGGAATCAAGAGGCCTCGTGCTGCATACTGAGACCTGAAGTGGCCATCAGGAAACCTGAGGGCTGGTCTCAGCTCATTCCCCCTCCCTGGGCCGCAGTTTCCCTTTCTGCTAACAGAGCATTAGGTCGGCAGCAGGCGTCCTTTAAGACAGGCACTTACCCCTTGTTAGAGTCTGACTCAGTACATTCCTAGGAGAGGCCCCGAGATAATTTATCCCCACAAAGGTCTGGATTCTGACAGGCGCTCCTGCACAATCTCCTGGGCTAGGACTTCAAAGTCCCCTCTGGATTTAAAACTCTCTCAGACCCTGCATAGACACCTACTGGAGAGGAGCAGGGGAAACAGGGGCCGGTGAAGATCACAGGAGATAGGGAAGGCTCCCGCAGGAGAGAACGGCCTTCAACTCTGAAGGGTAGTTACGACTAGATAGAAATGAGACAGAAGTCATTTGTCCAGGTTGGAAATTTCAATTTGTGGGTAGAACCCAGAAAAGGTGAGGGAGGGGTGTTGCAGAGGGAGGGCGGACCACAAAGGCACGTGACTAAATGTGGATCCAAATCCAGCTCCACAACACGATGACCTTGAGCAAGAGTTTATTTTGTGTGTGTTCTATTTTCTTCATCTATAAAAAGGAGACCATGATGTACCTCTGTCAGAGATCTGTTTCAAGGGTTAACTAGCACAATACACTGTACGCTCATTAATGCTCCCGACAAAAGAGAGCGAATCCCATGTCTGCTTTCATTGATTCTATTCTTCTCTACGTACCCCCTTGGATGGATGGCTGTCCCTTTAAACTCAACATGCCCACATGTTGAGCCATTGTGTTGAACGCCATGATGCAGCGGGAACAACATGGGAACCGGGGCCTGGAAGAGGAGCTAGATATTCAGTATTTGGGGCCAGATCATTCTTTGTGGGGGGCTCTCCTGCACCTTGCAGGATGTCTAGCAGCATCGCTGGCCCCCACCCACTAGATGGCAATAGCACCTCCCGGTTGTGACAACCCACAATGAATCCGGACATTGTCAAATGTCCCCTGGAGGGGCAAAGTTACCCCAGTAGTTAAGAAATAGTGATTTAGAGTAATGAAAACAGATTTCTCAGGAGAAAGAGGTAGACCTAGTGAATGAGAGGATTGAAGGGTGGGTGGGGAGGGAGCTGATTTTAGTGAGATAGCAGATATTTGTTTTTTGGTTTGGTTTGTACCTATTTCAAAACCTTGGACCAGTCTACCACAAGGTGCTCCGTAAGTAAAGTTGAAGAACCAGTGGTTTCTTTACAGTCATCTGTCTCCGCCCAGATGGAAAGACTGTCTAAATCCTGATTACTAACCACAAACGCCAGTCTTGGCTGAGCACCAGAGGGTTTTTTTTCTTCCTTCAGCTATATGGTTGCCTTGGAGATCCCAGAGTTTCCCACCCAGCCCACGCCTGACCTCTCATCTCCCCCACGACGCTCAGATGGCCCCGGGAAATCCTGGAGAGAACCTGCCAAGAGCCGTGGCCAAGGTAACAGATCTGCCTCCTTATCTCTATGCCGGTCAACTTCCCCCAATTCTTTCCAAGAGGAAAACGAACCAGGCGGCCGGGCTCATCAAAACTGCCTGACGAAGGCCAACTGGTGAGGAGGAGAGAGGCAGGCCAGCTTGGCTGTGTGGGTCACCTCCTCCCTAACTCAGCCGCACAGCCGCCAGGCCAAGCCCAGGCAGAGGAAGGGACAGCCTATTCCTCATTTTCCTCGAAGGCTGCCTGTCTTTCCAGCACCACACCAGCTAAGTCACCTCTCCGCACTCAGACTCTCAAGTGCCCTTTTGTCATTGTCCCAGTTCCGCTCTGCCCTGGCCTTCAGAGTCAGGCGGGCAAGACTGAGAGGGTTTTCTTGAGCTGAACATTAATTCAAATACTCCAGATGAGCACTTCAAGCAGCTGATACAGTGAAGTACTGTGCTTCACGTCTAGAATGTTCTTTATCATCCCTACTTCACCACCGGCCACTTTGTGCTTCATTGGAGGCTTTTACCGTGTTGTTTCCTGTGTGGAAGCTGTCACCTACTTACACTTTAAATGACCACTTGAAGACATAAAGCAGACGGCATGCTTGACTTTGTTTTTTTCTTAATCCCCAACACGGAACTCTGTGTCCAACACCCAGCAGGTGCGTGGTGGGGACTTGGCGTGGATTGTTCAATTAGGCAACCGTATCTGACAATTAACACTGCGTCTGAGCTCGGGCTTGATTTGGAAATTCACTCACTCAGCTCATTCCCTCCCTCAGTCATGAATTTCGCCACTTGTATTGCCTCGCAATTATGCCAGGCACTGCACCAGGCACTACAGTGAGAAAGACATTGTCCCCAAGCTCATGCTTTGCTTTGGTAGTCCAAAATCCAGATTTCTCACTAGTTCAAACTGCCCCTCCAAGTTGAGAGTCACGGTTTCTAAAAAGTCCTGTAAAGTCAAAGCATCTAACGCCTGAGACAGAAAAACAATTTTTTTTAAAGATTTTATTTATTTATTTGACAGAGAGACACAGCGAGAGAGGGAACACAAGCAGGGGGAGTGGGAGAGGGAGAAGCAGGCTTCCCGCGGAGCAGGGAGCCAGCCCGACGTGGGGCTCAGTCCCAGGACCCTGGGATCACCACCCGAGCTGAAGGCTGACGCTTAACGACTGAGCCATTCAGGTGCCCCCGCCTGAGATAGAAATTTAAAGGTCTATGTTCAGTCACACTGCTCACTTGAGCCCACTCTCCGTGGTCCATGCAGAGCCTCTGCCCTTTCAGTTTTCTTCCTTTTACCCCTGATTTCCACTCCCATACTCTCCCCCACGAACCATACTATATTTAATATGCATCCTTTAATATGCTCATGACCTTATAAATTATGTTTTATGTATACATATGTGCCTATGTGCTTAATTCCCATTGCCGGGTTTGTGTTCAAAACCCTACCCTGTTTCTTACTTTTCTCAATTAGAATTTTTTATGAAATCTGTACATTATATGTCCAATGAGTTCATTTAGAAGGCTGCACAGTGTTTGCGTTAGTTTCCTATGGCTGCTACAGGAGACGGTCACAAACTTAGGAGCTTAAACAATACCAATTTATTAATCTTACAGTTGTGGAGGTCAGAGGTCGGGAATGGGTCTGACCAGGCTGAAGTCAAGATATCAGGCATGAATCTGCTCTCTGACCTCCCTAGCTTCACTGGCAAATCCGTCTCCTCGCCTTTTCCATCTCTAGAGGACACCTGGTTCCTTAGTTTGTGGCCCATCTTCAAGGCAATGACAGGTCAAGTCTCAAATCATATCACCCTGACGTGGAGTCTCCCATCTCCTCATTCCACACATAAGGACTTTTGTGATTACACCGGACCCCTATGGGTAATCCAAAATAATCTACTTTCAGATCAGATGATTAGCAAACTCACCATATGTAACCCAAATCCCCCTTTGCCATGTAATGTATTCACAGCTTCCAGGGATTAGAACATGGACTTTGGAGGAGGCAGGGCAGTGGTGGCGGAGAGCATTTTCCTGCCTACCACAGTACTCCATAACGTATGCCCACCGTATAATCCAGGTTTCTAGCTGCCGGAAAATGAAAGATCCCCCAGTTCCTTACTGAATGAAAGAGTGCCTTGCTGTTCATCCTGGCAGGTCTAGAAGAGAATTTCTCGGGGATATATATATATATATACCTAGGAATGGTATTTACTGAGCCTTAAGTTATGATACCATATGATTTATAGTTATGATACTATATGATTTCAGGGAATAAACCAGCAAAATTCACTTTCTGACTCTCAAGCAGGCTAGCAGTATTTCTACAGAAAATATCCAAAGACATTAGAGGTCTTCCCAATTTCTTATCTCTCTCCATGTTCTAGGTACATGGTGGGATTGCCCTCCTCTGACTCCTTTGAAATTAGGCATGGTCATGTGGCTTGCTTTGGCCAATAAAGGAAATGTGAGTAGAAGTGCGATTGTGTTCTCTAGACCAAAGCTTTAAGAGTCTGTGCACAGCCCTGTCTCCGGCCATGGAGAACAGATTCCCATGGTGACAAAGAGCCTTCATCGGGCTGCGTCTCTGAAGGACCCCAATGGTCAGAGACCACACCCACCCTTGCCAAGTAATTGAATGGGAGTGTCAGAAAAAAATTAAATCAAACTTTTGTTATATAAAACCACTGAATTGTATGGTTTTTATTACTGCATCATAAAGGAGCCTATCCTGACCTGTATGGCTTTAAAACCGGGAAGTGTCCAAGTTTCAGCTCCAGTTAGATATTGAGGCTCTTTATAAAGCACTTTTTATCACTTCCTTCCTCCTTTAGCCCTCAGGCTAATGAGCTAGCTGCCTTTCCCTTCCCTCCCAAGCACACTGTTCAGATATACTGAAATCATCTCTTTACTTGAAATTCTTGCTCACTGATCAGGGATACACAGCAGTCCTTCTACTTGACAATGTGCTCCTGGAGTTCAAGGAGCACATCTTGTCATCATGCCCAGGTACAAAAGGCAGTATCTGCCAACTCAAGAGACTATTCTCATCTTACCTCCACTAACCAAGGCTCAGAGAGGATGGGAGATTGGCCAAGGTCACACAGCCAGAAAAAAGAGGCATCAGGACGAGAATCCAGCTCCCAGGGCAATGTGCTGCCCCCTTGGCCAGCTCAGAGGGAAGCATCCCATGATACTACCCAGGACCTAACCCCTCTCTGCCCTGCCCACCCCGCACAGATGCAGACACCAAGAGGAACTGCATGGATTCCCTTCCCTGTTCTCAAAGACCGTGGAAATGATGGTCTGCTGTCTATTTTCAATGAAATTAGCATTCGGGCTATTTGCTTCTCAGCATCTCTGTTACCCATTCGCTGATACTTCCTCTTTGGTCAGTTGCAAAAGGGGCCTCAAAAGCCTTCTGCATCAGATGGGATATCAAACACCATGATATGAGTCCAGCATCCCAGGAGACATAAACAACTCAAATCAGCAAGTGTTCCTGGAAGCAAATATAAACTGGAAGGTCCAGGGACATACAAGGAGACTCCAGGCAGAAAAAGGGGGCCCGTGTTTGGTTTAAAATATAAATTAGAGCTTGAATGGGGAAGAAACCAAAATGATCCATTTCCTCTCATATTATCATAAATGTGGTTAACAGTGAACCTAAAAGTACTCAGAGGCTTGGCTGTCGGCGGATGGTGTGGCTTCCCTTATCAGTCCATCAGCTGGGCTGACATGACCCTGTGGAAATGTTTCTCTCCACTGCATCTGTGCAAATAAACACTGGTAATTTCTAATATCGAGCTGCTTGTCTGTAAAGCGATCTTAGTGATGTAAACTTAATTCACAAATTATGGCTCACCTCCAGTTGGACCTAAGACATCAATTTGCTAATTCCTCTCATTTTCCCTTTTCTCTTCCCTCTTGACCCTGACAGATTATCACCCTGAAAGTGAATAAATGGTCTTGAGCCAGAGGGTCCCATTTGTTTCTAGGACTCAAAACTTCTACTTCTTTGATAGGGAATTAGGGTTGTGACCCCAGATGGCTAGGAGGTGATTAACGTGCTCTCGCCATGGTGCTTAGAACCCAGAGATCTGGAACACAAAGACTAAAGGATTTGACTGGTGTGGAGGTAGTAATGGCCCTGGGGGATGCTAAATATTTGTGCACGAAGTAAGAAAGCTTGAGCCTCGGCATCAATCTCCATATTCGATGATACAACAGAGTGGCCAAGAGCTTAAGATCTGAACCTGGGTTTGAATTCTGCTCTGCCATGAAGTGACCCCTTGCCCTGGAGTGATCTACTCAAATTTTCCCAGCCTGAGTTCATTTGGAAAAGGGGGATAACAGATGGGGTCAGTGTGAGAACTAAGTGAAATAATTCACGTAAACACTTAACTGTCCTTGTATGAACTACTATATAAGTAAGAAGGCTGCGAGTCCCAGATTTTCCACTGGGGAATGGTTCCGTATTCCTGCCGGAAGGATACCCAGCCTCGGATAAGACTCCAAGACAGACACATTTCTGGTATCTGGGGGAGTAGGCAATCCTAGAAGAGTCATCCAGATGGACCAGAGGCACCATCTTGGGACGTGCTGACAGTGGTGAGGCTCCAATTATCACGGGCAATGGTGTTGCTCGATCAAGGAGGAGATGCTACGAGGAACCCCCCACCCCGGCCGGCCACCTTTGGAGCAGGTGAGAGTCAAGAGCCAGTCAGCTATGACCACTGAGAAGGCACTAGCCTCAAAGAAGCCTCCAGAGATATGGTCAGAGAGGGGCTTCTGCCATCTGAGGGCAATACCACCCAAGATGAAGGAAGGGATGTTATCCTCTTGCTTAAAACTCTTCAATGGCTTCCTGTGATCATAGGGAGAAAATAAAACTCCTTTCTGTGAGCAACAGGGTTGTCCCTTCCCGACTCCCCAGCAACAGCTCCCACGTGCCCCTCTAAGCGTCGCCCTCCAGCCACACTGGCCCCCTCTCCACTCCCCAAACGTCTCAGGCTGTGTCCAGGCTTACCTGCCTCTGTCATGTCTGTCTCCCATGAGACTTGCCCACCTCCTCTGCAACCAGTTAGCTCCCAGTTCTCAACGCCTCTGGGCTCCAGCATCACTTCCCCACAGAAGCCATTCCGGGATGGTCGTAGCAAGCGTCCCCAGTACTCTGGCCCCACCCCTCAATTGTCCTGCAGGTGTAGGAGCTTGCACCGGCGACTGGTCCCCGGGAGCCTCAAATCCTTTGTTAATGCTCTTCACCTGTTAGTACCTCCGCTTTTAAAGACTTCAAAATCCCAAACTGTGGGCGCCTGGGTGGCTCAGTTGGTTAAGCGACTGCCTTCGGCTCAGGTCATGATCCTGGAGTCCCGGGATCGAATCCCGCATCGGGCTCCCTGCTCAGCAGGGAGTCTGCTTCTCCCTCTGACCCTCTTCCCTCTCGTGCTTTCTATCTCTCATTCTCTCTCTCTCTCAAATAAATAAATAAAATCTTTAAAAAAAAAAAATCCCAAACTGTGCTGGACTCTTGACTACTATCCCCTTCCCAAACCAGGAAAGAGCAACGTCAG